GTGAGGGGCGGCATGTCCTTGCTTGCTTGCGTCGCCCGGTGTTTGCCCGCTTGCTTTCGTCGGCCGGCCGGCCGACCGTTGGCCGCCGCAGGGGATCAACAGCTGGCAGGACAGGCTGGCGGCGTGGTAGCAGGCCCCAGCTGCCGCACGCCCGTGCGGCCACATGCATGATGGCTGACGCATGTGCTGCCTGCGCCCCGCCGCCTCCCCTTGCCGCGCGCAGGTTTGTGCAGTGTTACTCCTGCGGCAACCCCGAGACCGTCATCAAGATCAAGAAGCGCAGCGAGACGATTGAGCTCAAGTGCAAGGCGTGCGGGGCGGTCAGGTGTGCGCGGCGTAGCTGCCGCTGCCAGCCTACTGCCCATGCGGCCGGGATGGTGGGCTTGGTTTTGGGAAAGGCGGTGGAGGTCTGAAAGGCGGTTGAGGTGGCAAAGGTTTTTGCTGGGTGTTGCTGGAGGCATAGGTGGGGTCGGCGGGCTCGGCGGTGGGAAAGGCGGGCTTGGGGGAGCAGGAGGATCCGGAGAAGGAGGAGGTGATGGTGAGGGAGGAGTGGGAGAGGGAGGAGCGGGAGGAGGGGAGGGGACGGGTGGTGGCGACGGTGGTGGAGCTGGCGAGGGAGGCGCTGGCGGCGGTGGCGATGTCGGAAGACCATAAACGTAGGCGATCTCAGACCAGCGCGGCACGGCCTTGGTGCCCGCGTCCTGGATAGCAATCCCCAGCAGCCACTTGACGCCAGAGTGAAACATTGCTCCTGCACCAAACGGAACAGATGGGTACAAAGATGTCTACTTGTTTCAGGCCTGGTGTGCGTGTGTCGGTGGCGGAAATCTTCAATCACGCAAACATCACGCCTTGCCGCATGTGTCTAGCACAGCAGCAGCAGGCAGCAAGCGGTGACGATACCAACCAGAACCAGCCCCCACTGCACTTGCCTGCAGCCATGCAGGGCAGGTCTAGGGTTTTGTTCTTGCTGGCCAGCGCCGTATCTGGCATCAGCGTGCAGAACTGGGTGGAGGGGTCCGTCCACCACGAGGCAGGCAGCGGGTCGGCTGCAGGCGGCAGTGCAAGCAAACAGCCAGCACCGTCAAGGCCAAGAAGCCCTCTCAGCATGAGGAGGATAGGGAGGGCAAGAAGCGCCGCCCCATACAGCGCCTCCAGCTGCACAGGCATGTGCGCTGGCCAGAACAGCTCTGCCTGTCACAGGCACGCACCAAAGCTGAAGCGCGAGGGGTCTGCGTCCGACAGCATGAAGAGGAGCAACGGCCACTTGGTAGCCTTGGCGGGGATGCTGATGCGCACGCCCCAGTAGCGGTCCAGCCCAGCAGGCTTCAGTGCGGCCCTGCACCGGTGCAGGCAGCACAGATACGAAAGGCACGGTCTTGTGGGCGGCTGATGTGGTGCCATCCCAGGCCTGGCAAGCCTGCGAAGCAGGCCTGCACAGCTGCGCAAGCAGGCGCAGCACGACGCTGCAGCGCCGGCTGGTGCTCTGCTCACAGCGGGGAGGTGGGGAACCACCAGGCGCAGGTGAGGTTGGTGGAGTTGGTGCCCCACATGGGCGAGTCGGGGTTGTAGATTAGGCTGTTCAGGGCGGTGCCAAACATCTTGCCGGGGGTGAAGGAGCCCTTGGGGGTCACTTGAGAAGTGTCAAAGACAAACGAGGGGCCACCCAGCGCCTGCCAGGCTGCGGTGTAGCCGCTGTTGGCCGCTGCCGTGGCGCGCGCCGGCTGCCAGGTGGCATCGTTGGCACAAACTGCAACGCACAGGGGGCGGCGGTGGCAGCTGTTGGCAGGGAGGCGGAAAGGGAAGGCAGCATCATGCACAAGCATGACCAGACAGCGCGTTGCGCCAAGCAGCATCAGGTGCAGGCTGGCGGCAGCGAGGTGCGCACCGCTACTCGACGGGGGAGGTGGTGGGGCCGGAGGTGAAGGCGGAGAAGGCGACGGGGGTGGCAATGGTGGCGGAGGATTGGGATTCGGAGGTGGATTCGGAGGCGTTGGCGGAACAGGAGGAGGACTCGGCGAAGGCGGTCTTGGAGGGTGAGGTGGGCGAGGAGGAGGTGGGCGAGGGAAAGGTGGCTTCGGTCGAGGTGGTGGAGGGCGAGGGGAGGGTGGTGGAGGGCGAGGGGAAGGTGGTGAGGGAGGCGGTGATGGCGGATCAGGCGGATAAGGGGGCGAAGGCGGCGTGATGGCAAAGGGGTCGGGCCAGGGGTCGGTGCAGCCTGGCTCGGTCTCCACGGCGCCGCCTGTTGAGTTCGCTCCGGCGATGAGCCCTCGCCTAAAGCCCGACGGGATGCCGCAGACTGTGTTCAATTGGTCTTCTGGGGTGATGATCAGCTCCGAGCTCCAAGCATCCAAATAGAAATCCTCGTCAGTGCTTCTGAGCGGCTCGACGAGGGCGTTGCCATCGGGGGCATTCCCAAAGCGGAAGCGGCAGGCTCCCCCCCCTGAGTTCAGGGCCCTGATCCCCAGGTACCGCCTGCAACCCTCGGGCTGCACAGAACACCAGGTGGGCGGTTGATGCGGTGAGCATAGTGCCAGGCCTGTGGAGGCATGTCGGCCAATACAAAGCAGGCATGCCGACGTGCGCCTGCCTGCCATGGTGCCAGCTGCGGCGCCCGCGCTTGCAAGGCCAACGATGCAGCCGTGCTGCTGCCACTCGCAACTGCCGCTGCCCACGCACCTCCACATACAGCCTGTGCTGGCCGATGGCGTTGTCAGAGTCGACTTGCGTCCACGGCAAGCCAGGCGTCCTCGTCCAAGACAAGGTGATGAAGTTGCTGTAACAGTCGAGGCGGGCGCTGAGATACCGGGTAGAACACGTGCGCCCCACCGACTGCAGCAAAACAACCAGCGCGCATGCCAGGCGGTGGGGCGCTCAGTACTTGTGGCAGCCGACAGCAAGCGCTCAGGTGGCTGCCTCAGGCGGCTGGCTTGCATTGGTGGAGAACTCCGGCTTGCTTGCCTTGATGATGAACTGGTTGGGAGCGGTGCCCGTCGGTATCATCTCAAACAGCAGCCGTGTGTTGGTGCTGGCGTCCGGCACATAAGCCACTTGTGCCTGAGTTTGGCTATTGGACGAACCACACGGGGCGGCAATCAAGAGGCCTGCATGAGCGGGAATGACCAACAATACCCAGGCGTAGTCTCCAAGAGGGGGGTGGCAAACAAGGCGTCTGGCTTGCCTGCATTACTTCAATTTTCAAACAAGCCCACAACAACAAGCAGGCGTGTGGCAGCCTCTCACCTTTCCCGCCTGGATATCTGTTCCGCATACAAAGATTATCTGGGTTGATGACTTGGATTCCAACAATTTTGGGCTCGGGGGGCGGAGGCGATGGTGGCGGAGACGGAACACTGCAGGTGCACAGGGGAAGACGGCCAGGCGGCACGGTGGGCAGGCGGCACCTGTGCATCGCTGCCAGCAGGTCATGCCCTTTGGAGAAGCAGGCCTGCGGCGCCATGCGGCAAGGCCGGACCAGCAGGCTGGCCGCACATGATGTTCATCGCGCCCTTCTCCACGCGGGTGAGGCCGGTGCTGATCCACTCGTCTTCCCACGGGCCGCCATTGGACTTGAGGAGACTGTCGGGGAGGGCAAAGACGTAGGGCAGCGGGGTGCCGTACGTGAACTCGGAGCCAAGCTGGGGCGGCACCGTCTCGACGTTGCACGGGTCGGCCGGCGCGGCAGTCCCTGTGTTCTGAGCGAACAACGCCAGATACTTGGAGCAGCCACCTCCTTCAACCGACTCTTTCTGCAAGGAGCAGTCCCAGCTCGGGAGGCACGTCAGCAGGGGAGTGGCCGAGAGACAGGTGTGCAGGCTGGCGGCAACCAATCGGTGCGAGGCGGGCGGCAATCGGGCGGGCAGCGCAGCGGTCGCATGCTCCAAGCTCAAGCATTGGGGTGTGCGGGGCTGGGCACGCACAGCCGTGGCTGTTGCTGCCGCAGCTGCAGACTCTCACCGGAATAAGCAGCTGCGAGACGCCATCAACAGTGGCCAGCTTCCACCAGGAGTAGGGCTCTTCGGTCCAATACAGGGCAGTGGTTTCGCAACTTGCTCCGGCCCCAAGGTAGCTGTGGGTGGCACGCCCCATCGACTGCGCATCATACCCGCCAAACCAAGAAGCACACATATGCGAGTGTTGTGTGTGGCGGTGGTGGATGTGGGCACTGCTTCAGGTGGCCCAGGCCATGGCACACGGCGCGCTGCATGAGGCAGCGGCAGCCGTAGGCAAGGCAAACCATTGCTAGACGGTACCGCGCGAGAGCAGCTTGCACTTCTCACTTGTGTGGGCTTAAAGTCTGGTAAAGCAAGAACTAACTTGCAACATAGACTCCCCGCCGAAACGGGACGGGAACCGGGCGAAAGCAGAGAAAGCAATAAAACAAGGGTGGAGCAAGGCGACATGCAACGCAAGCAGCTGACAGGGCACGCATCGAAACGTGTGTATGACTGGCAAAGTGGCATGGCGCATTGGGGAGAAACGCAACGGTACGGGAGCATGGGCTGGCCAAATGGCAGTGCGGAACGCTAGGTCACTAGAAAAGCAGGGAAAGGCGCACTATGTATGCAATGAGGGCAGCCCCGGCTCGGGGCCGTTGAGAAAGCAGTGGGCGGGAGGGGGGAGGCCCCGGTGTGGGCGGGCCCCATCGAGGGGGGATGGGGCGCGCAAGCGGCCAGATGGGGCGGGGCGCGGGCGGCAGTAGAGTCCTGCGGCTGGGTGGGATATAGGGCAATGAGCGTTGAGCAGTGTGCGATGAGCAATGAGCAATGAGCAGTGAGCAGCCCCTCCCGAAACAAAGTGAAGCGCAGGACGGGGTCCGGTGGATGGGAGGCAAGGAAACGCGGGGGGTTGCCACGTGCGCTGCCGCCGCCGCCGCAGGCAGCACCCCTGCGGCGGCGGCAGCGGCAGCAAGCCGAGGACCCAAACGCCGTGCCGCCGCCGCCGCAGGCAGCACCCCTGCGACGGCGGCGGCAGCAAGCCGTGGACCGAAACGCCGTGCCGCCGAGTCCCGTGGCTGTGGCCGTGGGCTTCTGGCAGGAAACTACGGCCGCAACTCGGCAGCACGGGGGCGTCGCAGCGTGCCCCCGCCGCCGCCGCGCTGCCCCCCGGGCACGGCGGCGGCGGCAGCAAGCTTGGGCCCAAACGCCGTGCCGCCGAGTCCCGTGGCTGCGACCGTAGACCGTGGGCCGGAAACTGCGGCCGCAGCTCGGCGGCACGTGGTTCTGTTCAAATCGCCAAGCGTGCAGCAGCGCCGAACCACGCTTCCCGGCCTCGGCGCATGCCTTCAGGGGCCCCCTATCGCTGGGCACACCCCTCCAACACCGAACATGCGCCCGGGGGGGAGGGCGGCCCGGGCTGCCCAGGCCAAAGTGGGCCGCCATCGAGCAAGAGGCGGCCGGTCTGTGTGCTGAATGAATGAATGAATGCAATGTCCTCACCCGCAGGGTCCACTTGTTATCAGTCGTGGTGGAAAGGATGATGTGTTGGTTGATGCTGCCGGTGATGCCCTTGTGGGCTAGAAACAAGGTGCTGCAAGCATGCAGGAGGTGGGGGAGTGCATTTGCATACAAAGAGACATGACTCATGTCGGACATGCAGAAATGATGGCCTGCAATGACATGATGATTAGGTGGGGTCGCAGGCAAGTTGTGGCCGCCACACAGCGATGTACTACTCACGGGTCGGCAATGGTGCATGAATTGGCATACGCATGCCCTGCGAGCATCCACAGCCGGGCAGAGACTATGGGCCAGCAGAAGAGTGGCCAGTGGGAACCCTCGGGCTCCATTGCAACATGGTGGAACGGTGCCCCTCCGCCCTTGCCACGCAGCAACCCACCTCTGCCTGTTTTGCACTGTCGCGTGTTGGAGCTCAGTATCACTTTGTACAAGCCGACGCCATCAAATGGAGACATCAGCACAGGGTCATTCAATATCTGCACAGCAGGCAGCAACATGGCAGCTGTTGCCAACAAGCATCCAGCCAGAGGGGGGCGAGCGCCTGCCCGTGCCCCAGGCTGATTCTAGTGCGGACCAACCGCCCCAGTCACACAAGAACGTGGCGCTGCACAGCCCCACAGCTGCACTGCAGGATCCCGTGGATGTGTGCTCACCACCATATTTTGGTCGATCCAGTTTCGATATGTCGAAATATTTGTATAGACACCTGTTCAGGAGTGCGCAAAGGGGCAGGCGGTTGGAACCCTGGGGTACTTCACTACAGGTGCGTTAAACACTGATGCTGGCTGGCAGCAGCAGGCTGCAGCACATGCCCGCAACATTCCTAACAAGCGCTAGCGAAGTAGCATGGCTATGCCAGCTGCACCCGCTGAGCAGCGTAATACATTTCCGGCCGGCGTGCTGCAGACTTTCAGTTGTGGTGGCATCATGGCACCAGGTCTCACCTGGAAGCGAGGTCGTGCCACAATCACCGACACCAAAGGATGTTATGCCATACTGCAGGTCTTGGGCCGGGCTGCCGTTTGGGCTGGGCAGAAAGAGCGGGCCGCCAGAGTCTCCCTGCGCCAGGCAGCAACATGTGCAGGGGCCAAGGGAGTCCAATGAGGAGGGCAGCCTGAAGCGTGGGATTGAAGCCCCAGGGCGGGTCTCAGGCTCCCAGCAAACCCCGAAATCCATGCAGGGTGCTGACGACGGAAGCAGCAGTACAAGCCCGCACACACCCCGCAAGAGTTCTTCCTCTTGCTGGGGGTGCCTGCACGCGGGATGCGGGGGACACGGGCCATCAGTGGTGCGCATCATCGGAGCCATGCATGTGCTGATCGCCCCAGCTTCCCCCAACGCACCCGCACACATCATCTGTGGAACAAAAAGGGTCCTGCCGGCATCAGTGAACTGCTTCTTGCACGAGGGTTTCAGCAAGGCTGAACGGAGGGTATCCACCACATCCACCTGGACCTGCACTTGGCAGGCAAGGCGCAGGCAGGTGGGTGCCAGGGTTGGGCAGCACACAGCCAGACCAGGCTGCAAACATCCGGTCGCGGCAGGCAGCAGGCGCCGGCATGCGGCGCTCGAACCCGTGCACCGCCAGCTCTGCGCAGACAATGGGTGCATACTTGCATGCAACGCAGCGTGTGCCACGCACCTCCTGGAGAACGGTGGGCTCGGTGGTTTCATCAGCATTGTTCCTGCCCCAGCCAATCGTGGTCAGCAGCGTGCCAGCAGCCACCTGGCCCTCAAAGGCTGCAGCAGAGGCACCACAGCAGCGTGGCCAACGGCCCGGGCATCTGCTGCCCCAGCAGGGGCTGGCCTGGAGGGGCCTCTCACACTATGCCTGCTGCCCTCTCCACCTTCGGGTCGTGCCGACCCCCTGCCCCTCAGATGTCAGCAAAGCCCAAACCGGCAACTCACCCAACGGCAGTTTGATGGGCACATATCTGGAGGACACAGCCTTGTTGAGGTAGATGATTGCGATGTCGTGAGTGGAGGGCCCGTTCGGATCGTACAATTTGTGGATCACCACGCTGATGCCCTCCCGCTCCTCGTACTTGGTGGGGTCAGTCTCCTTCTTGATGTACAACCCTAGCCACACCTGCACAGAGCGTTCAGACCGGCTGCTGGGGACGGGCTGGACTTCGCAGGGGCACGCTTGCTGGGCTGGCGAGGGGCACGGTCCGGACTTGGCCGCCAAGGAAGCGCGGAAGTACCGCCAGGGAAACGTTCCACTAGAAGCTCACCTTTGGGAATAGGGTTTTGTCGTCGTCCAGCACATCGGTGGTGGTATTATCAGTGTTTTTGATGGTCTTGAAGAAGCACTACACCAGAGGAGGCAAGATGCGAGCGTCAGATCATCGGCCGTGTTTGAACTACGCGGCAAAAACACCCTTGGGTGTTCCACTCACATGGGCCGCCGTCAACACCATACGATAATTGATCAGCGTACCCCCTGCAGACACGACGGTCGGTCGAGGGAATGAGCAGGGGGCCGATTGAGGGAATGAGCAGGGCTACAACCACCACAATAGCACCGCAACAAGTGGTGTGAAATCCAGCCCGTGTAGCTGGCTGATGCGCACCGCAGAAATGGCTGTTGGCTCCGGAGTTGTATCGCAGGGACACCATCCACAAATATCTGCATTGGTGTGTGTTGACAGCATAACCCCACGGTTGCAACAGCACCCCTGTGGTGCTGGCAGCGGCAGCGGCAGCGCGAGGTGACAACGCCTTTGCAACACCGCCTTTGGCAGGTGCGCAGGCTGTTGGCAGGCATGTTGTGGCATGCAGCCAGAAGCCACCCACCTGAATTTCGCGGCGTCTGTGCCCCCAAGAATGGCTGCCTGCACCTCGTCCTCAGCCAGCGTGTGCCTGCGTTGGCGGCCAAGCAGGCAAGCGAGCCGCCGGCTGTGAGAGGATTGGGACGACGTGGGCCGTGCATAGCCTTCAGACCACTGGCCCGCTGGCCCCTGTGTTACAGTCACCCCGCTATGATAGGCCGCGTGAGCAGACCTTGGGCAGGGGGCACACGTGATCAAGGGGCATCAAGAGAGGGGGTGGACCATGGAGCACCCTCTCCATGGCTCCGACCACCCTCCCCCCAGCTGAGCGTCCCAGGGTCACCCCACCCTGGCCCCGCTCCCCGTCCTGCCGGACACGCAACCCCCACAACGTGGTGGGGGACGTGGGGATCCTTAGCAGCTTAGGCCTGCCAGGCCGACGGGTGCCGATGCTGGTGCGGGCTCCCGGCGGCAGGCAGCGCCGCCGCCGGGCACTCAAATGGCATGGGGCACATGGGCCCCCATGCCCGCACATCTCCCAGGCACATGAAAATACCAGAAGGCTGCACATGTAAGGGTGCATGCATTGCAGGCAGGAGTGCAAAGTGGCCTGCCGCGGCGGTCGGCTGTGCCATTACTCAGTCAGCCGCCGCTACCGTGCCGGGCTTGGCGTTCCCATGCCAACATGCCGGCGTGCCATCGCGCAAGGGGCCAGTGAGTGTGTGAGGCGGAGGTGGGGGTGGTGGGGCTGCCGCTGACCGTTGCTTGCTGACGCTGACGCTGCTCTTACCTGCGGGGGGAGGGGGTGGGTCGGGAGCCAAGGCCGGGCAAAAGATGCCTGGGCCCTACTCAAGGGAACCGAGGGAGTCACTGTGCCAGGGCAGCAGCATGCTCCTCATGGCACCGGTCGGCAAACCGGGCCAGCCGGCCCTGCCTGGCCTGGCCGAGGAAGGCGGCCAGGGAGGGCAAGGCGTGGCCGGGACTGTGGAAGAGCTCAGCATGG